GGAAGAATAAATGTTGATCTTAGGGCTTGCTGGCACCCTATGAATTCAAGAAGCATACTTTTCTTGCTTTCATCCTAGTAGAAAAGTTAGTAATTGCAAGCACTACAGTATCGCTGTGACAAGTGGGAAAAATAGCCTTTTAAAAACCTCTCTAAGATGTCTGCCTGTGATGAGGCATTCTTTCAGGGTGGCTGCATTTCATTCTTGTATTCAGTGATGAATCCCAAAATTTCTAAGTTTGCTTTGCTCTTTGAAGATAGAATCATAGTATTGCTGAGGTTGGAAGGTACCTTTAAGATCATCAAGTCCAACCATTAACCTACCCTGACAAAACCACCTCTAAACCATGTTCCCAAGTACCACATCCACCCTTTTTTTAAACACCTCCAGGGATGGCGAATCCACCACCTCCCTGGGCAGCCTATTCCAATGTATAATAACCCTTTCAGTGAAAAAATATCCTCTCACACAATGTTTTAAAAATAATTTTTATTTTACTTTCAAGTGAAGGGTTTAGCTATATTCAAGTCTTCCTATCGATCTTACTTCAACACTCAAATTAAGAGCAGATGGGTTCAGATCTTTTAAATAATTGCCTTTAATCAGTAAAATGAATTGATGTTTGATTTAGGCATTACGGCACTGTGTAACCTCAGCTGCAATAGCATCTTCCTCTTTGATCACCTAGCAGCACAGATGGCCAGGAGGGAAGGATGTTAGCCTGCTGTTTGGAACAGTTGTGTTCTTAGGTAGACTTTCTGTCTTCAAAGGACAGTTCAGGGTCTTTTTCATTGCTATTCTTATGACTAAAATGAAGATTGGAAAGGATTGCTTATCACAGTAATTTGAAAGTCCTGAGAAGCAAAGCTGTTTCAAGTGCCGAATTCATATTTTTTTTTCTCTCATTAAATGAGAATTTATTATTATATGAAGGTTCCCCTTTTTGTTTACAGATATTTGGATTCAGACAAGATTGATAGCCACAAAACACTAACCTGTATCAGATATACATAAAAGGTTGTGGGAAATTGGCTAGCTGAGAAGGGTAACATAGATATGATCCAGCTGGCCGAGCAGGAGCTTGGGAAACATCGGACCCAGTTCCTGTGATTGCTAATTGGCAAGGGCACCCTGACCCTGACTGCAGGTGCTAGACAGTGATGAGAAGCCTGGGATTACTCAGGCATGGGAAAAGAGGGAGTAGTTGCATGGGAGAAGAAGAGGTAGCTAGCCACAGATAAGGAGCTAAGGGCTGGAGTGATGAACCAATCAGAATGCTGTGTTGTTGGAACACATATAACTAATTATAGCAGAGTATATATGAAACATGTAGTAGCCAATTATAGTAGAGTAAACATGGAATATGTTTTAGCCCATTATAAAAGACAGCTGTGCTATTCAATAAACGAAGCTTGCTGATTGCTCATATTGAGTGTCCATGTCTTCCCCCGTCGCAACACCTGGATCCTCCTTCTGGCCCTTCTTGTGGATGGGTGTCACGTTTGCCAACCTCCAGTCAGGTGGGACCTCCCTGGTTGGCCAGGACTGCTCATAAATGATGCAGAGTGGCCTGGTGAGATGTCACCCCTTGATCAAAATATGCCAAGGAGTTGATCCTGAGATGAACCAGTGAAAGGTTCACCACCTTCATCAAAGGTTCACCACCTTTGCCAGTGAAAGGCAAAGGCTTCCAGTTAGATGCTGCAGTACAGTGCAGCCTAAACACGTTCTGATTTTGCAACTTTACCAGTAATGCCTGCATCCTGCCAAAGGTGAGGTCAACGGGAAGGCTGTTGAAGAAGAATAATCTGAGAAATCTTGGATTTGAAGAAACCAATGATTTGTCACACATGTGAAAGCAAGAGACATGTGTACTGGTACCTGTAGAAACACATGGTAGGCTGCCATGGTATGTGCCAGTCAATCTTTCTATCCCTTTTGATTGGGGAATAGATAAATAATGTAAAAGTTTCCTTCCACCAATCCGTGTGTTTAGGAGGATTAAGCTAGTTTTATTGGCTTGAACAGTGCTGCTGCATCACTATAGTAGAACTGCTTTGGTGTGAAAGAAATCCATGTATTATTTTAGCAATATGATGATTTTTTGGTGCTACATAGCTGTTGTGGCTCAGGCGCTTGTTAAAATCAGAGCCACATACTGACCTGGCTGCTAGAACTTGTCTTCGTGTCTTTCTGCTGCCACTTCTCCCGTTTCCTGCAGCTGGAGAAATACAAGAGTTCCTCTTCTTCATTCAACTCCGTTTCTGTCTTGCCTCCCAGTACCCTTTTGCTTGGCTCTAGAAGGGCTGGGCTACATTGGGCCTGGAGCCACTCAGTTTGATTTGGTGGCCCATCCCTGAATTTTACACTACAAACTGCCTGTGCTGGATGGGACCATTACCTCTCTGAAATACTGACATAAAAAAGAGGTTAATTAAATAATCTGTTCCATTTTATTGTAATAGTTTGGGAATAGTTTCTGTGAGAAACAGGAAAATATACTTTTCCTTAAATTCTGAGACTCAGAAGCAGTCTTCATTTGACTGTTTCTGTATGGTTGAGCTTTTATTATGTTTTAGGAAGGACATAGTTCTGGATTTGTCTTATAGCTTAGTTGAAATCCAGGACTGAATGGATGAAAACTGTGGCGTGGTTATAGCTCAGTTCACAGTCAATCCTGTAATTAGGCTGGAATGATTTGTGGAGCTAAAATGAATCAGAAGTTGCTGACCTGATGCCGAACCCACTGCATAGTAGTTATTTCTGTATAATTAGGCAGACAACGAAGCTCACATCATGTTGACTTCAAAACTGATGAGCTTGATTGGATATACAGCTCACACCTCTCATTCTACTAAATTTCCCAGCATGTTTGTGTTAAGATTTTCTCTTCTTGGTCTTCCCCAAATACTCTGCCCCCCTGAAGCACAAGCAGCATTTGGACACGTGGTGTGTCGGAGGACCTGTGCAGATGGACGGACAGCCTAGTCCATACTAGTGCTGCTCTGAGGCTGTGCTACAGCCCCCCTCCAGTAGGTAATTGTATGATGGATTTGAGCACGCGTTGGAGGTCCAGCGCTTTCTGCTGGAGTCCCCATATCGTTTGTGTGCGCATGAGCAATTTCCCTGTCTGCTCCTGGAGGAAGGAAACCAGGCTGCTGAAGAAGCAGGAGATTGCTAAAATAATTCATGCAAGCTGGTCCCAAGCTGCTGTGTATCCAGGTGCAGCTCTGTGCCGACTGGGAGCGTGCTGTGGGCCCTCTAACTCGTTGTGGTCATGGCCCGTCCCAAAGCACAGGCAAGAGTATGGGGCACGGGCACTGTTGTCTGGCTAGGGGCGGGAACAACACAGGGGTATTCTTAGATGAATCATCCTGGAGGCTGCTGGTTGAGAAACGTGCTTCATAGAAAAGGGACTGAAAAATAGGCCTTGCTAATATATATGTGTAGGTATCTTGGGGTGCTTTACGTATCAGTTATTTACCTGTAGACATCTGAAACCTGCTTGCTGTGGAGCCATGTTTCGTGTACCTAAATTTACAAATGTCAATCTGGGTCGGTATACGTGATTTTCATGCGGTCTGTATTTCTTTAATATTTTTAATACTATCAAATAGGACAGGAGCATTGTCTTAAAGTGATGGTAAGACTGACATAGAAAAAGGAACACTGAGAATTAAAAGAATATTGGTGTTTACGATGTCTGTAACAGAAATACAGGGCGGAATTTCATATATGTGAATTTCCAGAAATTAATATCTGATGGGGAACAACTTTTGGCTTGTTAAGCATTACTTATTATTTAATCCACAGTCTAATAAGGAGGTGTGTACTTAGCATGGCAACGTTGTTTTGTGTTGCAAGTGCTTTTTCTTATTTTATGTGATGACAGTGTAGAAGAAAACCAGGTACATACTAGGTGTTTGAGTCCTAGGCTGACTAGTGAGATTGAGGGTGGCTGTGTCCAAGTTTTTCTTTTCCTCTCTTGGCTCTGTGCTAAAGCCTAAACAAGTTGGCTTACAATAACTATCTCATACTGTTGTACTGATTTGCTCATTGACCTAGCATGATGCAATGCAATCATACACTTGTTTGAAATCCCTGTGCACAGTACAGTAATAAATAATGTCAATGCTGAAGTATAAGATTTTATTGTCCTTAATTTAGTGTGAGTAATTGGAAGCAAAGGCTATCTTTGGGTATATTAATAAATGGGATCCCAGTCTCCAGGGAATGAAAGAGTGACTTTAAACCTTGAACCGTCAGGAACGTTCTATATCCAGGATGGAATATGTTCAGCACATAGTTGTCTGAAAAGACGTCAAACTCACCTCTGTTATTGTAGTAGCATACCAATTATGGTGAAGTTATCTATTGGATTACGTTTCTCTTAAATTTTAAAATTGAATGCATCATCTTGTTTGGCTGCAAGTACTGTGCTTTTTTGCTGGGTTCATTGATGAGGAATTAGTCAGAGTCAGTTATACCAAAATGACCAATGATTTTAAGATCATGTAGTCCAACCCCCTTGCCATGGGCAGGGATATCTTTTGATTAGAGCAGGTTGCTCGAAGCCCTGTCCAACCTGAGCTTGAACACCTCCAGGGATGGGGAATCCACAACTTCTCTGGGCAACCTTTTCCAGTGCCTCACCACCCTCAGAGTGAAGAAATTTCTTCCTTATGTCCATTGTAGCAGTTCATTGATGCATCTGTAGAAGGAAGGTTGGCAGTGGGGATTCACTCTTTCCTGGTGTCCCACTGCTCACGAGTGGCCACACCGCAGAGCTGTGTTAGAGGTACAGAAGAACAGCCAGTTAGCTGTAGCATGGGCCCTGACAAGCCGCGCAGTTCGGATTTTAGAAACTGCCTTGACGTTAGGAGGGTGTTTCTGTGTGAAACACATTCAATATCTGATGCAGTGAACCCGTCGGTGGAAACAACCTCCAAGAAGGAAAGGACTTGGATGGTGATACAAGTAAACATTCTTGTTTCTGTAGTACCTCTTTACCGTTTACAGGAGGCATTGATTTTTGTCTTCCAACATTTCAGGAAGCATTCTCTTCAAGTGCATGTCTTTGGAGGCTGACAGAATTACAGAGCAGCAGGAGAAAGTGCTGTCAATCCTAGAGGAAAAGTTTCCAGATCTTCCCCCACGAGAGGAAATTATCTCTGTTCTCCAGGAGACTCAGTTTAACCCGCAAGGTAGTGCAACTTGCTTCCATTTTTCAGACCTTTTACAAATCTAGTTATGTAACTGTACCAGAATATATTGGCTCATTGTGTGTGGTGAAAATAGGTGTGGCATGCTATCTTCCTTGACAGTAACATGTTATATTTAATTTTAAATTAAGTGGCTTATTCTGAATCGTGGAATTGTGGTTTCTATTGAGGAGCTATTGAACTAAATAACCTTGTGTTGCTTTTACAGATAAAGTAAACATTAATTTATTTCATATTTTACTTTTACAAGTGTATGCTAGTTAAGAATTGGTGTTGATGAAGTATAGGGGCATAATCAATGTGGCAGCCCATGTGCAGAAATCATGCTGCAGTTGCCTACATGGTGTGGGAGTGGATTTTATCTTCTGAACCTTCTCAGATTTATTGAGGGCTGTGTACACATGAAGCGAATTTGACTTCAGACTAAGATTAAGGAAGGAGTGGGAAAACTGCAATTCTTTCATTCTGTCTACTAGAAATAGCTGAACACAGTTGTCATTTTTTCAGTGATCAGAAGTGGATATGTTTGAACGCAAAATTTGGTAGCAGGATTTTGAAAGGATGTTCTGAAAGCCTGAAGAAAATTGTTGCAATAACTCTCATGCTTTTTACTCTTTGTTAAATGGCATATGCTACCAAGTTGTTAACAAAGAGTGAGTATTGAATTGCTGAGATGCGTCTTCATTAGATATATCAGGTGTGCACAGAGTCCATGCAGGCCCATAGCCTTTTTTTACTGTTCTTTATCTGCCCATCTGCAGAATCCTCTCATCTAAGTTCAGACTGTCAGCCTGAGATGGCTGCCCTAGCTGGTAGCTAAGGACAGAATTTGAGGTGCTGCTTCCTTTGCTCTTTCAGTGAGGTCACAAGTTAAATTAGTTCAGGGCTATAAATCTTCACATAGTTCCCTGAAGTTCCTCCAGACGTTAGTCAAAGAATCATAGTTCAGAAATGGACTGAATGCAGCCTGGATTGGAGAGATCCAGTGAAAGTGGTATTTGTGGAGCTCAGTTCTTAGTTCTGCCAGTTGCCTGGGAAGATGGTTTAGTAATGTTTGTCAGGTACTTGGCCCATAAAGTGTACCATAATATCCAACACAAAACTTCGCCAAGTAGATATAACTGATTCAGCCTGCATTGGTTGCCAGTGATTTTTATATGCCACATGTGGAGGGTAATGTCCTACAGGCTTTTTGTTTTGTCTCATAGCTGCTGTTTGCTATGTATTGTGAGGTACATATTTAGTACTGCACATATATATGTGGCATTTGTATTAGTAAGGTGCTGTTGAGTTTCTGAAGTCTTTTGAAGGCACTATCCTCTGCTGAATATTTTAAGTTATGTACCTGTTATTTCAGGCAGCATCAGGATAATTCAGCGAAAAACTTGTCTGTTTCGTGCAGAAATAATGATTTATTGGCATGAATTCATGAATTCAGTTGTTATTTGAGGCACAGCATGTAGCCCACCAGAAAGTCTATTGGTTACCTATAAATATTTTTAAAAGGACAGATGCATAAATAGAATAAATATGTGAACATTAGCCAGTTCATCTTGTCATTAGATTGAATGCAGTAGCTGGACTCTATACAGGAACAGTAATGACAAGATTAATTTCTTTGGCTTAAGTAGGTATTTGGCTCCCTCTATAAAAATTAGTCATGCAAACACATTTTGGATGTTATGCTGCTAAGCTTTAAAAGTCTGTGGACGTTTTTTTTGCCACCCTACACCAAAGTAAGTGGCTTGCAGCTTTCTTTATATAGACATTTGGCTATCATGTTTGTATTTTTGATCATGTGATATGACCATGTTCCTATACATGATATATGTTTATTTTGAGAATCTTTACCACATTTTAGAGAGACATCTTGCATTAGAAGAACTTAGTCACATGGATTTTTCAATACGTTGTACTTAAACATATCAGTATGTCTGTTTGCAATGTTGCTGTGAAGCAACTCCAATTTTACACTGTTGTTTCTGATCATAATATGTACTTCTCTTTCTGTGGTACATAAACATATAGTTGGTTCATTCACCTTTGATTTACGTAAGAAAAACCCATTGTTGTTGATATCAATTTGTGAGGATGGTCAGAAAGGTTGCATGATTTTGTGTTTACAGAGTATCTGAAGTACATTGCTTCTGAATATTTTATAAATACCACATGGGCTTGTCAATATATTACTTATTCCAGAAGTGTTCCATATTAGCAATTTTGTATTAGACCATCGGAGTGGTCTAACCTTACATTTATCGTCAATGGGAATTCAGTTCGGTTAAAAAATGTGACTATATACACAACTTGATAGCAGGAGACTTAATTACTCATCCTTTGCTCTGCCCCTCTCCCCTGCTTTAAATCCCTTCCTTGATTTAAAAACCTCTCCAGAAATATTAATGTTGGTTTAAATTTTCTCATAGGGTGTCCTAAAATACCAAAGGCTCAACATGAAGGTCTAAGCTGTGTTTTCAATTTATGTTGCTGCATCTGGTCAGCTGCAGATACTTGTATGTATTGAAATTCCTTTCTTTTCTCAAATAGGTGTGAGTATTGAAGAGGTTATGCTGAAGGATCTCAAGGAGATTTCAGATGGAGAAATCAAAGTAGCAATTAGCACCGTGTACATGACACTGGAGGTAAGAGGAAACCTAAACGATGTAGTTGCTAAATAGCCCTATTGCATATGGAGACGGTTCTTTAACAAGAACAATTTGTGTTATGGATGCCAGTAGCTATTTACCTTAAGCTGAGGTATATATAAATGTTACTGGCTATTATGCAAAAATATTAATTAAAATATATTAATGTTTAGATTATTGAACAATTACGACATGGCGGTATTACTTCTGATGGAAGTTTGCATACTGATATACAGATTATTGATAAAACTAACTAGATTGAAGAAAATCTCAGTAACAAAGAGATACTTTCACCTGATATATATTTGCAGTTTACAATCTCACCGTTTGCCTGAAGGTCACCCATACAAAAGTATTTGACATACAAAAGAAGTTGTCATCCTCTACTTTTGCATTTGACTTTTAATCAAAACTTTATTTTACCTCAAATAGTACTAAAAAAATCACTTTAATAGTTCTTACCTGTGTATACCCTATGAGATTTTTTACGTCTTTTGTGATGCATTTTACAAAAAAATAAGGTGCCTCTGTGGTTGAAGTTTGTGGTGCGATGCAGCTTAAAATTATCCATAGATTTCTGCTTGCATACTAAAATATATGAAGCAAATTGGGTAGCAAGGCTTCAAGAAATGAAGCAGAATCTGTTAGTTTGTTGGTTCGTTTCTCAGTGTCAATCAAACTTTGCCAGCCACCAAACCTGCACTGCTTTATGAATCATAATTTTGCTCCTGAAAATTACGCCAAGGTTGGGAGGAAAGGCGATGGGGAACAATCATTGTAAGATAAATCCCCAAAAGAGGAAATAGGATTTTTAAAAATTCTTAATAATATTTTCCTCCTCTTTTGTTTTAGATATTTCTCTCTTACTGTGTCAGTTTCAGTGAATGGTGGATACACAGGGCTGGTAATTAGGAGCTAGCTTTAGCATTACATTTTCTTTTTATTTGTTTTCCTTTTAATCTTGTTTAATAGACTATGTAGAATGCAGGCTTTGTGCTTCACAGATCTAAACTCCAGCTAAATGTGGCTGAACTCATCTTTACTACTCTACATACTCAAATTAATCATAACCTAAAACTTGTCTTCCTTTTGGCTGCAACTCAGAAATTGAATTTGTCAACAGTAGGTTTTCATAGTCCTAAAAGCAGGCAAATTTTCAAACTTTTTTCAGTGAATGTGTAACATTTGGTGTGACATACTTTGTTTAAGAAGTTTCAAGATCCGGTGGTCAAGCAATAAATGTTTCATAATTGTTTTTCTTAGGACATATCTAATGGCCATCCCGGAGGGCAAAGGAGATTGAGTTGTGTGTAGAAAGAACAAACTGATCAGTGTTTTACTGATGTTAGACCTTTTTTAACACCAATCTGTTAAGTAATTTTATTACTGGCATTTTTGATGGTATTTTTCTGGAAGTTACAGGTATATCTCTTAGCATTTTGCTCTCTGTTGTTCTGCTGTGAATAGTTTGCTTCAGAAAGAGTTAATTTTTCAGGGGTGTAACTTCTTTTTTTTTCTAGCTATAAAGTTTACAAAGTCACACTTTGTACTAAAAGGACTCTTAATTTCACAGTTGGGATGGAGAACAGTTTTGAGATTGCTCCATTACTGCTGTTTGTTCATTTTCTGAACTCCCTGATTTACAGTGCCTGACCAGCACCAGACCTTTTTTACTTGCTCTTATTAGAGCCAGGGACGATATGGTCTGCACAATGCTAAATGAGGTGGCTTGTAAAAACATTCTGTACTAGTTACTTCACCCAATATCAGAAACGTAATACATGTAAGGCAATTATAGACAATACTGTCCAGACCTGTCTGTCTATTCAGTTTAGAATTCTGTTATGAACTCAGAATACACAAACCTTAATGACTTGAGGATTTTCTCAGCAATAATAATGGTAATCTGTTATTCATCCACAAAATGCTCTACAGATGTTACCTGATTAAACATTAAGGGAACATGAAGAACAGGCTTGGCTTTTCTGCAGGTATTGAACATCTAATGTGTTTGCTTCTTTGGAAATCTCACAAGATCAATTTTATTTTATTTTTTTTTTAAAATCAACAGGTATGCAAAAGTATCTTTCATTAAAGTGCTCTCTATAGGCTTGATTATTTGCCTTGGTTCGGTGGTTTACCACGTAGGTGATCCTGCTAAGAACAAAGATGATGATTATACGATTATAGTTGGGTTGAGTAAGCTGTTCACAAGCGTGCATCCCCTGCTGCGTTGGCGGTGTATCATGAAGAGTGAAAGTGTGGCTGTGCGACTGATCTCAGTCAGAGTTTCACAGTAGTGAAAGCAGAGATCAGCAAGTCTGATACTCTAACAAATGTCACACCTTAGTAGCACGTACTCAGATGATTCTAAGGTTTCCTTGGTTTTGTTTTTATGGCAAGTTTTACAGATCTTTATTGAAAGTAGATTCTGAAAAAAATCTCTGTTCTTGAGGGGTGGATGCTGTTTTTAGCAAAGTCTTGACCTGGAGCTAAGTTCCTTTCCCTTCTCTACTGCTGATTTCCTATGTTAAATAAATAGTTTCCTCAGTTTCCCCTCTGTAAATGAGGATATTAATCTTTTATTTCATAAATGTGCCATGAATTTAAATTAATTGAAGCTTGTGTTAGGTATGTTGTTATAAACCCCATTTTCATTAGTATTGAAACAGATTTCCTGGTATCTATGGGACTGTTTTCTAAGTTCTGTACTTTATAAGGAAGGAAACTTGGTAACTAACAAGTCATCAATTGTAAGTTAATACTCATAATTACTTCCAGTACTATTGCATAGCGGTACCCAGACGCGTGGGACCCATGCAGGTACGCTCCTGCTCTTGGGTTTCTCATGAAGGCAGATGTGAGTGCAAACATAGCGCTGTTGATCTCAGTCCTTTATGTGTCTGTACCTACTGATATCAATCAACAGTGTGCGATTTACATCCCATGTCTGTTGGCTTGCTAGTTGTCAACGGACTGATTTTTAAGTTTCTTGATAAAAGGGAATCTTCCAGATATTAAAGAAATAGACAGCGTTGTCATTAGTGATAAAGACAGGGAAGGCATTTTGTGTGGATGTGTTTAGGTTTCTGTAAGAGTCTATACGCAGCTTTGCATTGCTTGAGATAACTACCTTTGGATGTGGGCTTCGTGGATTTAGGTGGCATTAAAGCTGAAGTCAGTTGAAATTAAGTTGAAATCAGAACCGTGTCTCCAGTGACTGGCTGCCGGAGCGTGTGCTATTTGGGTTTCACACGTGTAGCAGCAGTTTTTCAAGAGAGTGACAAAAGAAAAGCGACAGCGCCCAGATCACAGTTATTTTTGTTGCCTTTGCCAGAAAGTTTCCCCAAGTCATAATAACGATTACTCATAGGATATTGTAGCAAAATTCAGTGCATGCATTACAGTTAATTTCTGTTACATTATGTTATACCCTGAGAGTATATTTTGCTTGTTCTCTGCTGGAATTCTCTTGGAAATGAGAAATATCTTTTCAATGTGACTTTCTGTGAAAGTCATTTTTTTCCTGAGAAAGGAATATTTCCTTTGTAAACTGAACTCTATTCTCTGCTTTCTTAAGTCTAGTGCACCAGAAGAACAATCCAGGTTTCATGAGTGTTCAGTTTATGTCTCATGATATTGTGGCTCAACAATGTGTTTGTTGGACTAAGTCCTTAATCTTTTGATTCATGAAAATTTATTCTAACTGCTCAGAAAGCTTGCTCAGAATTTAGGAAGATAGAAAATCAAATTTCTTCAGGGAGAAGCAGGGCAGTCAGTTGAAAATAAGGCAAATAATCTATGATAGTCTGCTTTTGACTATTACAGACAAGGGAATAATTGCATTCTGAAGGCTGAGCGATCTTTTGAGGTTCTTGTTCGTGTTTCTGGCCATGGTATCTGAATACTTCATAAGGACAGTTTCCAGGTTATAGAGGTTGTGTAATCTTTTAGTATTGTATGGTCGGAGCCACCTCTATAGGGGTGCCAGTCAAGAGGTTTAGAGATGTCACAGCCTCAATGGAGGCTGCTGTCACCAGTGTTGTTGCCCCAAGAAAGTCATCTGCAAATTCATGCTGGCACAGTGAGCTTGGCTGTCCCTAGGTAGCAACTAGTAGTTGTAGAGTCATAGAATGGTTTAGGTTGGAAGGGACCTTGAAGATCATCTCGTTCCAACCCCCCTTGCATGGGCAGGGACACCTCCCACTAGACCAACCTGCTCAAAGCCCCGTCCAGCCTGGCCTTGAACACCTTTAGGGATGAGGCCTCCACAGCTTCTCTGGGCAACCTGTTCCAGTGCCTCACCGCCCTCAGAGTGAAAATTTTTTTCCTAATATCTTATCTAAATCTACCCTCTTCCAGTTTGAAGCCATTCCCCTTTGTTCTGTCAAATGAGTTGAGGATGGTACCAAGGGAAAGTTCTGACTCTTGCAACAACTTACCTCTTTGTGGCTCTGTGTCTCAGAGAAACTCACAGTGGCTGTTCCAGCAACAGTAACTTAGGAAATTTAGAAATGTTTGGGTGCACAGTGGATCTGCTTCTTAATAAATGGTCTGATCTCAGAAAGACGGTTTAATTTTCAGGTGGTCTTGTAGTAGTAGTATGGCATACAACCACGTTACTAATTTGGACAATTCTTTTTGTGTACCATGAAAAGTGATACTTTTAATACTTCTGTAAAGCAAATGAAGAATTTCTGTCTCAACTCAAGCATGTCAAACAAGTGTTATGTAGACTGTCACATGTAGTCAAGTGAGATTACAACATGTCTTATTGCAGGTTTGAACTTTTGTTGTCTGTCTGTAATGACTGGACCATAGTTATGTATTTGGGAACTTTTTTCTTGCAGTATAAATATAAACATATTTTAAATGGCATCAGATTGGTCCATGAATTTGTTTTTAATGCTAAAAACAAAACAAGAAGAAAACCCCAAGTAAACATGTTAACATTTAATCTTCCAGTAATGGAATTGGAAACAAAATTCTCAGCAACT